GGAACCACAGAATGAAGATTTGAAGCTGTTCTTTTGTTTTTGTTTTTTTTACAGAGCTAGAAAGAGAGATCACTAGGTTGGTTTGGAAATGACACGCATTCCTATAAATGTGACATACACAAATGCTGAGCAGAACAGATACGGCTGAAGAGTACAGGCAATAGGAATAATAAATGAGTGTAATGAATTTTAATTGGGCAATAATAGTACAATCCCCTATTATAGAGGCATACAGTGTGTCACAAGCTTGCAGCCAGAAGAAAGGTTGGAACGCAAAAAGCCAAAAAGCAACATATTATTCCTCAACTTTGGGCTGGAGCCAGGAGTGTGTGACCTCTTTGGTCGAAAGACTTCTCATCCCTGTTTCACCAGGTCATTCCTTCCTTTGGTGTGAATCATCGCTGAGAATCTGTAACAAGCACATCATTGTCAAGAAGCTAAAAGCAATTGATTAGTTGTTCTGATAACACCTGTCAGTGAAATAACTCCGAGCACAAAACCCAGGCATTTAAGGAGTTGACAAGTATTATTAAAACTGTTTTGCAAGAGAAGAAGCTGGTTCAAAGAGGGAAAAGCTGTCAAAGGTAATACAATCAGTAAGTGGCTCAGGCCTGCTGCCTTGCGCAACTAGACTCTAGCCACGTGACCTCTCAGGGCCCAGAAGACTGCGGGTCCATCTATGAACATTTAGCAGTGTTTCCTCCTGTGCAAATTTAAAATGTGACATTTTTAAAGTTATGAATTTGTTTTAAATTCAAATATATTTCTTATGATTGGTTTTCTCTGGGGTTTCTCCCTCATTCAGAAACTTCACTCTGTTTTTTAATTTTTAAATGGTAGCAACAGTGTATTACTACCAGTATACTGCTCCCTTTTTATTTTCCTTTGAGCACTTTGTCCGTGGCACCCTGCTAAACCTCATGTTTGAATTGGGGCAAATCATAGCAATGCTTTCATCGAGAGGATGGTGTTTTGTGCAGGTCCTTTCTTGAGCCAGACCTTAATTTCATGATTTTAATAAGGAAAGAGATAGGAAAGCCTAGTTCAAGGTAAATTAGGATTTATAATTCGGAAATGCTTCTGCCTGTCTGTAACTAACTTTCTAGTTGCTCTCAACTTCGCTTTCCACTCCGTTTACTTTTAAAAAAAATCAATAAAATAAGCAGTAAACTTAGTCTGGGTTCAACAGAAAGGTCACAAGACAAAGGTCTAAGAGCATATAATCTGTGCACGGCTATAATCCAGGGAGCAAGAAAAGCGTATACAAAGATGCTTGACGTGCTGCGGACAGCCAGGAAACCATGACCAAGGAACAGAAACCCTGGAATGGAAAGAGAGTGGCATTGGGCAAGGCTGTGTTAGGTTGCACCTACAAGGAGTCAGCTACCAGCCCAGGTAGCTGGAAAAAGATGCTGAGAAGCCAGATGAATCTGAAGTAGTAACAAGTGGCTTCCCATAATGCACAAATATATTCTTGTTGCATATACCTCTGTATATAAAGTAAAACATGAACTTTTGCTCCCTCTCTCCACCCTTTTCATGAATACCTGTCATTAACATTTCATTTTCTGTGCATTTACATATTATGAGAACATACACATATATCTTTTTATCTTTAAAAAACATGAGTTGGGGCGCTCCCCTCTACCTGTTAGATGCTTCCCGATTCACGATTCGCTTAATAAAGCCAATTTGATCTTTAAAAGAAAAAAAAAAAACATGAATCAGATCATAATAATCTTGTGCTCATTTTTTTTTCCACTCATATTGCTTGCATCAGGGTTAGGATTTATTACATTGTCAGCAAGTTGCTTTTGTCCCATAGAGGTAGACTGGAAAACACCGATTTAACGTTTTTTGAATTAACACATGAATGAAGAATGATAGTCTGATTTCTAGTTAGAGTTTCTGCTTATAGGAGAGGAGTGCTGCTAATACTTGTGACTGCAGTGGGCAAGGTCTGGTAAACCATGGGATTGTCATTGCCAGACAACTGAACATCCCTGCCAGTCTCCTTCCCATTCATCAACACCACCACATCTGCATTTTAGAAGTAGGAATGGAAGCTACCCAGGGGAGACACAGAAAAGAGGTGGAAGTGAGGGGCTAATTTTCCCTCTTCCCTTCTCAGATCTTGGCTGAGACCCTGGTAATAAAAGACAGATTAACAAGAGAAAAACAAGCAAATGTATTAACCTGTATGCCCCAGGTATACGTGAGCGATGCCCAGGGGAAAAGGAGTTACTCCCCAAGGTGATTAAGAATTCAGCCTTCTTGATAGGGAAGGGCGGTGGGAGGCCTTTTAGGGGAGAGTAAATGACCTAGGAAAGTTGAACTGGCCCTCAGTAGACTAAATAGGAGGTATGATGATGTTTGTGATGTTTGTCTGGACGTGGTGCTGACTTCTCGTCTGTGACAGGAGTCCATCCTTGCTGGTTGATGAAACTCCCAGGGAGGGGAATCATGGCTGTTGAGTCCTTTTGGGGGACTGGTCTTGAGGCAGATAAGGGGCAGTTCAGAGAAAGCCTCTCCCTCCATTGGCTACTTTTCACGGGCCGACAGCCCAACATTAGCACTCTACCAAGGTGGCACATTTGGCCAGTGTGTCCTGAGCTCCTCCATTCATATTCTGCTACCCTTCAGGGAGACAAGGGAAGTCTCTTTAAAAAATTCACTCAGTCAAAAAAATACGTTAAGCCCATGCTAAGTGGCAGGCACTCTGGATAAAATGGCAGACTTGGTCCTTGTCCCCATACAGGGAGAGTCTACAATTGAAGGAAGAAAGAGTAGGGCAGAGATGCAGAAAGAAAAGAGTAGAATTCCAAAGGAGGGAGAAATTTCAGTGATGGCTAAGTTAGTACAGTGCTTGTGTTAATATAAGTTGTTTAGGAAGGAGTTTAAATCCCAGCCATCTGCTCCCACATCAAACACACAACACTGTACCCCCGATTTCACTCCTCCGTCCCACATATACACATCCCAATAATCATCTGCTGATATATTTTTCATGATTTCCTACAGCCAATAATAAAAAATATACTTGATTCAAACCAGAGGATTGTGACCCAGATCTAAGTATAAATATAGTGGAAGTCATAAGTTTCTGTACCGACAGTCTTACTAATTAAGTTATTTGGCCTGTTTTTAGCCACATTGGATATTTTTTCTTTTTAAGGTTGTTATGGATGTTTGTAGCAGCATCAATAAGCCAAGGATTCACAGTTACTCAGTCGCACAGATTACTCATCATTGCCTGTTCATAACAGAATCCTAAAATGTTTAAGATTTCTGATGCAAATCAAAATCTCATCATCACTTGTCATTGCTAAATTAAATGACAGGATAATAACATTACATTAAAACCATTTTTCTCTTGATTGAGTACCTTTTTCAGAAGTGAACCTTGTAGATGGATATTTTTTTCATCAGTACTATAAATGCATTTAGAATAGGAGGTAAAAATAGCACTGAAAAGGGGAGGAGTGGAATAGAATGTTTTCAAATTATTGATGAGTCTCTTTTGAATCTCAAATAGCCATATTTGACACTGCAGTGTTAGGGAATGGAGTAGTTTAGCCCAATTTACTGAGACTTTTAGAACTACATAAAGGAGGTGCACAGGTTGAACTTGGTCATTATCAACACCATTGTGTGTTCTTGGCATCAGTCATAGATCATTCCATTGCCAACAGGCTGTTAGTGACCTGTAGGAATTGGCATTGTCCTGGTACTCTAAGATTAGGCCCAAGAGACTGGTTTCAGATAGATCACAGCCTAGGTGGGAAATGAACGTAAGTTTCAGGTCTGCCAAAGCAGGGTAGGTTCTCAATCGACTTACTGTCATGAACTTCCCTCTTGGCCTTTCTTTCCCATCTAAAGCTAATCTTTCTGGTCACACCTGCCATTGCTCCGTCTGGCCCTCGGCCCACTTCTTTCTGGCCATCCAGTCCTCATGCTGGTCAAGCCCATCTTCTTCACTCACTCACACTCACCCTTTCCATTTTCACATCTGTCCTTCAGAGATGTTGTTTCCTCACGTCTTCCAGTTTAATGTTATGAAAATCATACCCTGGAGGAAACCTTTTACTCTTTTTGTCTCCTTTACTACTACCCTCACCAGGCAGTAACAGGTGAGTGAAAATCCTTAGCTCTTGGAGAAGTCCATGACGGTAGAGACTGAAACGGGGTTGGCTAGGAGGTGACAAGAGTTGAATCTGGGTGATGAGTGCATGGGGTGGGGAAGTCAATATACTGTTTTCTCTAATTTTATAGGTTTGAAATTTTCTGTAGTAAAAATTTTCAACTAAACTTAGCTCTCTAGACTCCATTTTTTAAGAATAGATGCTCTTTTTGAGTCAGTACCTGAAATGGGTGGGATACAGGATGGACTGGGACTAACACCTGATCCTGCCATCGAAATAATAACCCACTCCTGCCCCACCTGCCAGGAAACAAATGGGATTTCTCAGCGCCTAGAATTGCAACTTCCGTCTTCTCCTTAGGTCTTTTCTGAACATGGTTACTGGAGCCCTGGTACACTTCCTACTTCTTGTTAAAGTGACCAGGTAAACCAGTACAGAAACACACATTAACTTGGTCCCATGTACAAGTGCCACTGTGAATAAAGGTCTGTGCTAGGCACTGGGAAGTGGGAATCGGAAGGGACTTCCCTTCAAGAGCTCCCCATGATGGAAAACGGAGGCATCCATGAACACCCCTGATGCAGCAGGCACTGGAAACTAAAGTGGCTCTAGGAGCGCGGCTGTGGGACTGTGGGGGGACGGGCAGGCATCCTGTCAGCAGATGCATTCTGGATAGCGAGGCCAACTACCGAGTGTTATCTTAAAGGAAAAGGTGATCTTCTCTACTTCTGCTTGCATTTCTGATGGCTAAGACTAGACTCCATCAGAGAACCTTCCCTCTCTCTTCTGAAGAACTTAAACTGATTGCAGTTACCAATGTGCCTTTTTTTTTTTCCTTCTCTTTTTAAATTATGGCAGTCTTACTTCTCGTTTGCCAAAAACCGGAGAAACCATCCATGGACATAAGTTTTTTATTGGCTTTGGAGGGAAAGGTGCCAACCAGTGTGTCCAAGCTGCCAGGCTTGGAGCAAAGACATCCATGGTATGCAAGGTAAGTGTAAAGGACAGTGGAGAGGATTCTAGAGGCAAGGGTCTTGTTTTAAGACTTGGTTTTTATTTCTTAACTATTTTAAAGGGAACAATTCAGTGGCATTTAGTACATTCACAATGTTGGACAACCACCATCCTCTTAGTTCCAGAACATTTCTGTCATTCCAAAGTAAAACTCCTTACCATTAAACAGTTTCCCCCCATACTCCCCCCACCCCCCAGCCTCCTGCCCCTGCCATCCACCAATCTGTATCCCGTCTCTGTGGATTGATCTATTCTGGAGATTTCCTCTAAATGGAATCATAAGATACATGACATTTTGTGTCTGGCTTCTTTCACTTAGCATAGTATTCTCAAGGTTCATCTACCTTATAGCATGTATGTATTTTATTCCTTTTGTGGCTGAATAATATCCCATTGTATAGACCATAATTTGTCTATCCACTTGTCTGTTGATGGACACTTGAGCTGTTTCCACCTTTTGGTTGTTGCGAATGGTGCTGCTGTTCACACGCATGTGCACGCACTTTGCTTGAGTATCTGCTTTGTGTGGTTGTTAAAGATTGAAATAGGAGAGAGTCTTTTTCCTTATCCTTTACATTCATTTCTACCTCACTGAGTCCTCTGGGAAGTAGCTTAATGCTGCATTCCTTTAACTTACTGAACTTCTAAGTGAAGGGTGAGAAGTGAGAGGAATTCGCCTACTCCACTGGGTTTCTATAGTCTGGCTTCTAAACAGCAGAAGTCACCCGGTTTTTAGCAATTTTTGCTGCAACACAGCTTTTGGAAACTTGGTCTAATAAGTGGTGATTCACTCATCTCTAAGTTATTTCTTCTAATGCTCACTCTTGGATCAGAAAGGAATCTGGGCCTTAATGAACTACCTCTAACTAATCCTTAGGCATAGTTCTGTTTTTAGGTATGTAAGGAAATGACAGTAAAATACAATAGTCCCTATTCCTATCCATCTGACTGAAATCATTTGAAAATAAAATTGGCTACCAAAGGTTCAACGTTTGCATGTTTAATGAAATTTTAAGATACTAGCATTACTGGTAGAACACGAAAGTTTATTTTAGGAAAGCTAGACTCAGTCTACACACTAAAGGATAAGAAAAATCTGAGAGATTTAAAAGAATGAGCTCACTCCTGTGAGCTGGGTCAGTTTTACCAAAATTTCTCTGCAATGTCATTTCCCATTGCATACAGCACTCTTCTCTCCACAGGAATCTTTCAGTGATGTACAAACTATACAATTATCATTTCATCTGCTAATGAGGTGTAGTTTTATTTCTAATTTATGACTAACCTGATGAAATTCTCATCTAGCTATTTGGTCAAAAACATCACATGAAGCACAAGATTCAAAGTAAGAAACGCACATCTTCTAAGGTTGAACTCTTGATTTTAAGTGTCAGTTAATCAGCCACTAATCATTGATGACCTACTACATGCTAGGAATTATGGGGCTTGGAGAGGGAGCTGTAGGCCTGACCGATCCTATACTTGATTAGAAATGAAGGGCCTGGGGAGTCATCAGATGGTGCTGACTTAACGGGGCTTAGGAACTGGAAGGAGCAGGGTATTTCCTGGCTGGGAAAACATGGACAGAGAATTGGTATCGGAAGCAAAGTACCAAAAATGACTGCTCTGGGAAGAGAGGAGTTCCCTCGAGCTGGAGCCGTAAAAGGAGAGATTAGAGAACCCCTCTTGGAAGCTTCATAAATGCTATTCATGTAGCCATGAAAGTCAAAATTGGATGTCCCCTGGGATCTCATCCAATTCGAAGATTGAGATTGGTGTTATTTTGGGTCTGTTGAATTTGAGGCAAAGAGAAACGCAAAATAGAAAATATTTGAGTTGTAGAACTGAACTTGGGAAGTGAATCATACAACCGTCAGGAGTGGATGTGAGAGGAATAGACAGCAGAGGGCTGTATTTGGGGAAATGGCACAGTCAGGAGTTTGATAAAGCAACAGTGCTGTTTGTTTTGTTCTGATCTGCGTACGACAGTGTATGGTAGCACGTGTACAGTCGGGCAAGCTATTCATGCCCCCGGTGCCCGGGCGGCTGGCGGCTGTTTAGCCCCGCGATCGGTTGTAGCCTGGGCATCCATACAGAGAGGGTGAGAAAGCGTGGCTTCAGCCAAACCCCATACGGGGTGACTTTGCTTAGACCACCTGGAATCTTTAGACACAGATCTCTTTAAGCTTAAACAAATTGCATAATATTCTCAGATTTCTTCAAAAGAAAAATATCTTTTTTATAATGGAAACTGTTGTTATCCATTCATGATATTTTTCCATGGTGAAGTATATTCTTATTAAGCAGTGTAGCCAACCTGCTGTATAGCATTTTTTTTTTTAAGATGACAAATTCCAAGTAGAAACCAAAATCATGAAATGACTCAAGATAAAAATGAACAGATGGAACAAAAGAAAAACAGAAAATTTCCTTCGGTTTTCTTAGCAACATTAACTTACCTATGACCACCCTGCAACAAACTAAAATCCAAGCTCTGGCGAAGTAAGACTGTTTGATGGCACATGCAAAACAGCTTATATTGAGCTCAAGGGAATTATTTGTCAAGATATTGTGACAAGGACTATTAAGCAAGAGCCCATCAATATGCATCCAGCGAAACATGTAATCATGAAACGCTTGAAGTCGTTAAGGAGTTGTATAGTCAGTAGTCACCTGAGTTGTGGCCCCAAGGCCACAGCCCAAGGAGAAGTGGAAGTGATATTTTCAGATTACAAATCCAGGCAGATATCATAGAAAATGAAAGTCTTCTTGGCAGGGCAAAGAGTCTGTGAGAATACCTTTCATAGGACTTCACCCGATTTTCTTAATTGTTTCCTCCTCCATCATTCCATTCAAGCTAAATGTTATTTCTTGATATCCAAAACTGGCTGCTCAGGAGGGCCAGGGTAGGAAAAAAAAGAGTTCGAGATGCAGTGGCCCAGTCCTGCATCTTTTGCAGTGGCCCAAAGACCCTGCTTCTTATGTGGTGGGAAGAAGCCCTGAACAGGCGTGGACCCAAATGACCCAGATCTGAAATCAGCCAAGTGAGAAGACCTTCAAGAAACTACCTGGTCTTACTTACCTTGAACATGACACTCTCAAAACTCTCTAGGGATGCTTGGCTGGCTCAGTCGGTAGAGCACGTGACTCTTGATCTTGGGGTTCTGAGTTCAAGCCCCACACTGGGCATAGAGCTTCCTTTAAAAAGAAAAAAAAAATCACCTCTGTAATACAAACAGCTATGTCTTTTCCTTGCAGACTGGGCTGATATTAAGCTCTGACAGAGGTGGTGTGTTAGAGCCACGCCACTCAAAGTCTGATCCTCAGGCCAGGCTGCAAACTGTCACTGGGTCTGAACAGGAATTAAGAGTAAGCAATTAGCAACAGTTACAGCATTTGACAGAATAATGTTATAGCTGATGAATATAATAGTAATAATAAATTAAGCCTGGTATTTTGTAGGACTCTTTTCTGTTTTTATTTCATTGTTGTTATATTTTACAGAATTATTAGTCCACAGTGGATTGAAAATTAAAAAAGAAAAAAAACAGCCTTCACTATAGACGGCTTGAAAAGCAGTGTATTAGAGTACTCATCATCTTAACAAAAAAGGTTAGGTTGTCTGTCAGATTACTGTGGGACAGTTAACTGATCGTGCATTAAGATTTAGTTTTCAAAGATCAAAAAGTAGTCACCAGCGTTCTCCAGGTTATATATAATGATGTGAAATTTGTCCCTTCCTGAACTCTGCTGAAGGACGACTGACTAAAACTACTGGCTATATTGATTAGAATGCCTGGCCACATGTCCAAATACAGAGTACCCTAGGACCCAAAGCAAATAAACAATATGTGTCTCATATAGGAAGAATGGAAGAAAATTGGATTACCACCAGCGACCTCTTACCTCCTACCCACCTCCACTCTCAGATAAGTGGGACTCATAAATGGTGACTGTAACATTAATTTTCTATGTTCAAGGCCATTATCCCCACTTAGATAGGATTTAAACCACCAGCTAGCTTGAACAACAGGAATTTTATGTATTCTTATGTCCTCTTTTATGACAAAGCCACAAGTGACAAGTTAAAAGGTTAATATGAGGGACTTAATTCAAAAAACGACGGCTAGGTTTTGTTATAGGACAACAAATGCATGTTGGGCTCCCAAACCTGCTGTCCATCAGGACCCTCAGGCACTGAGAAGTCACAAAATGTCTTGAATAACAAAGATCAAATTGCAGTCAATTTGGTTTTAGTGTTAATTATATTTCTGTGCATTGTAACTTTGAGAACTGGTAACCTGTTTTAATGTAAGTGATAACTTTTTTAGCAGAAATATTCGACTTCATGTGACCTTGGGTAAGATATCTCGGTCCTCTAGGTTTTACTTACCTCAACTATATGTCGATAGATGGAATTCCTAGATGTTTTCTACCATTCAGGGATCCAAACAGCCCATTCCTCAACCGTTTTGAAACGTGGACATTCACTATATGGTAGTGCTAACTGCAGTCACCCTCCTTGGCACTGGATCCCAGTTCCGGACTGTGGAAGCCACTGACTGGCTCTCCCTCAATGCAGAGAGCCTTCTCGGTGGTAAGAGTAAAGGAAACACCTCAGGACCCTTAGCTAGAGGAAATGCTCTTGCTCCCGATACACCCAGTCCTGCTGTTTTCCATTATTCTAACTTACATCCCTCTATAGCTGCATTATCCAAGATGGCAGCCTCCAGCCATGTGTGGCTGGATTTAACTGTAATTAAGATAACATTTTAAATTGAGTTGCTTTATCATACTGACCACATTTCAAGTGCCTGTTCGGGGTAGCACAGATAGAGAGCATTTCATCACTGCAGAAAGTTCTGTTCAACTGCATGACTCTAAAAGCTTCAGGAAAGAGCTGAGCCTGGGATTTCCTGAAGAGCATCTGGGATTCTAGGAGTGACCTTGGCTTAACTGCAAGTGGTTGTCCATAAT